GGGGGTCCTGGGGGGGTTTGGGGGGTCCTGGGGGGTCCTGGAAGGAATTTTGGGGGTCCTGGAGGGATTTGGGGGGTCCTGGGTGGAATCCGGGGGGTCCTGGGTGGAATTTGGGGCATTTTTGTATCATTTTGGGTTAATTTGTTGTAGTTTTCTTAATTTTTGTGGTAATTTGGGGGGGGAAATTTCCCATTTTTGGGGGTTTCTTTTCAGGTCTTTTTGGTCATTCGAGGTTTTGGTTTTTTGGGGTGATTTTTGGGGTGATTTTGGATGGATTTTGGGGTGATTTTGGGTGGATTTTAGGGTGGATTTTGGGGTGATTTTGGGGTGATTTTGGGGTGATTTTGGGGTTTTTCAGCACTGCACCTGCCAGGACGATTGTTCCTCTTCCAACTGCCTGTGCGGGCAGCTGAGCATCCGCTGCTGGTACGACAAGGTGAGAGACCCCCAAAAACACCCCAAAACACCCCCAAAATCACCCCAAAACAGCCCAAAAATAACCCCAAAATAGCCCCAAAATACCCCAAAAATAACCTTTAAAATATCCCAAAAATCACCCCAAAACACCCCAAAAATCACCCCAAAACAGCCCAAAAATAACCCCAAAACTGCCCCAAAATACCCCAAAAATAACCTTCAAAATATCCCAAAAATCACCCCAAAACACCCCCAAAATCACCCCAAAACAGCCCAAAAATATCCCAAAAATAACCCGAAAAATACCCCGAAAAACACCCCAAAACAACCCCAAAAATACCCCAAAAATAACCCCAAAACAACCCCAAAATAACCTCAAAAATCACCCAAAAACAGCCCCAAAATGCCCCAAAAATACCCCAAAAATCATCCCAAAAATGACCCCAAAAATAATCACAAAAAAATTAAAAAATACCCCAAAAAAACCCTCAAAAAACCCCAAAATGACCCCAAAACAGCCCCAAAATGCCCCAAAAATTACCCCAAAACCACCAAATTTTGGGGTAATTTGGGGGGATTTTTAGGTCATTTGCAGGCTATTTTTTTGGGGGTTGATTTTTAGGTATTTTTAAGTTATTTTTGGGCTGATTTTTGGGTATTTTTGGGGTGTTTTTGGGGCTGATTTTAGGTTATTTCCAGTTTATTTTTTTTTGGCTAATTTTAGGTCATTTCCAGTCCGGGTTTGGGGTGATTTTGGGGTGTTTTTGGGGCTGGTTTTTTGGGTATTTCCAGTCCATTTTTGGGGTGATTTTGGGGTGATTTTTGGGCTGTTTTTTTGGGTATTTCCAGTCCATTTTTGGGGTGATTTTGGGGTGTTTTTAGGCCATTTCCAGTCCGTTTTTGGGGTGATTTTGGGGCTGTTTTTAGGCCATTTCCAGTCCGTTTTTGAGGTGATTTTGGGGCTGTTTTTAGGTTATTTCCAGGCTGTTTTTTGGGCTGATTTTTGGGTATTTCCAGTCCGTTTTTGGGGTGATTTTGGGGCTGTTTTTAGGCCATTTCCAGTCCGTTTTTGGGGTGATTTTGGGGCTGTTTTTAGGTTATTTCCAGGCTGTTTTTTGGGCTGATTTTTGGGTATTTCCAGTCCGTTTTTGGGGTGATTTTGGGGTGTTTCAGGGCCCGTTTTTCCCCCTCCCAGGACGGGCGGCTGCTGCAGGAGTTCAATAAAATCGAGCCCCCCCTGATTTTCGAGTGTAACCAGGCCTGCACCTGCTGGAGGAGCTGCAAGAACCGCGTGGTGCAGAGCGGCATCAAGTGAGACCCCAAAAACCCCAAAATCCAAACTCTCCACCCCAAAAAACCCCAAAATCCCAAAATCCCCACCCAAAAAAACCCCAAAATCCCAAAATCCCCACCCCAAAAAACCCCAAAAATCAAAAATCCCCACCCCAAAAAACCCCAAAAATCCAGAATCCCCACCCAAAACCCCAAAATCCCAAAATCCCCACCCAAAACCCCCAAAACCCCAAAATCCCCACCCCAAAAAGCCCCAAACTGCCCCAAAATTCCCATTTTTCCCCTTTCCAACCCCAAAAATTCCCAATTTTTCCTCATTTCCCACCCCAAAAATCCCAATTTTTTTCCCCTTTCCCCCATTTTCCCTCTCCCAAATTCCCGTTTTTCCCACGGTTTTTTCCCCAAAATTCTCATTTTCTCCCCATTTCCAACCCCAAAATTTCCCTTTTTTCCCCCAAAATTCCCATTTTTCTCCATTTTCCTCCCATTTCCCCCCCCAAATTCCCGTTTTCCCATGTTTTTCCCAAAATTCTCAATTTTCCCCATTTCCAACCCCAAAGTTCCCATTTTCAACCCCGAAATTTCCCTCTTTTACCCCAAAATTCCCATTTTTCCCACAGTTTTTCCCCAAAATTCTCATTTTTTCCCCATTTCCAACCCCAAAATTCCCATTTT